AAAAAAAGAAATTCATAAACTGAAAGACAAATGATGGAAAACAATACTCCATATGACAGGAACTTGAAAAAAACCCATGGGTTAAAAAAAAAAAAAGCATGGGTAGTCTATTTGCAGACAAAGTGAATTTCATGCCAAGACTGATTAAGAGAGGCAAAGAAGGTCACTACAACCTTGTAAAGGGAACAATCCAAGAAGAGATAAAATCATAAATATATATGCACCAAATACTAGCACATCCAGCTATATAAGACAAATATTAACAGACATGGAAAATCAAATAAGCACTAATACAGTTGTAATAGAGGACCTCAATACCCCACTGTGACAAACAGACAGATCAACTAGACAGAAAAATCAACAAATGAGTACCAAAATTGAACCAAGCTTTTGAACAAATGGACTTAGTAGATGTCTACATGGGGTTTCTCTCTACAACATCAGAATACACATTCTTCTCAGCTGCACACGGAAATTCTCCAGAATAGACCACATACTAGCTCATAGAACATGCTTAAGTAAATGCAAAGGAGGTGAAATTGTCCCATGTATATTATCAGACCATAATGCATTGAAATTGGAAATCAATGGCAAAAGAAACCACAAGAACTTTATAAACACATGGAAATTAAATAATACCCTCCTGAACAACCAATGAGTCCCAGATGAAATTAAAGAAGAAATTAGACAGTTTCTACAATTAAATGATAAAACCAATACAACATACCGGAACTTATGGGACACAATGAAAGCAGTCCTATGAGGGAAATTTATAGCAGTGAATTCCCATATCAGAAAAACAGAATGAGCTCAAATAAACAACCTAATATTGAACCTCAATCTTCTAGAAAAAGAAGAGCAACTCAAGCTCAAGGCTCATATGAGGGAGGAAATTATAAAGATCAGAGCAGACATTTTAAAAAAAGAAATTAATGCGATGGAGACTAAGAAAACAATACAAAGAATCAATCAATCAAAGAATTGGTTCTTGGGCTGAGGATTTAGCTCAGTGGTCCTGATTCAGCACAAGGTCCTGAGTTCGACCCCCATGAGCAGGGAGAAAAAACAGTCACAACAACAAAAAACAAAGAGTTGTTTCTTTGCAAGATTAAATAAAATTAACAAATGTAATACACCGTATTAACAGAGCCAAGGACAAAAACCATATGATTCATCTCAATAGATGCAGAAAAAGCATTTGACAATCCAACACCCATGCATGATAAAAATCCAACAGAAAATTGGAACAGATGGTCTTTATCTCACTCTGATAAAAGCCATTTATGACAAACCAACAGCCACCATCATACTAAATGGACAAAAACTGAAAGCTTTCACTCTAAAATCAAGAACAAGACAAGGATGTCCACTATCACCCCTCCTATTTAATACAGTTCTAGAAACATTAGCCAGAGAAATTAGACAAGAGAAAGAAATCCAAGTAATAAGGATAGTAAAGGAAGAAATTAAATTATCATTATTTGTGGATGACATGATCTTCTACATAGATGACCCTAAAAACTCCCATCAAAAGATTTCTAGATTTAATAACCAAATTCAGTAGCATAGCTGAATACAAACTCAACACTCAAAAATCAATAGCCTTCCTGTACACAAATAACAAACTCACTGAGAGAGAAATTAGGGAAACAACACTTATCACAATAACATCCAAAAAAACAAAAACAAAAAACAAAAAACCTAGGAATCAATCTAATGAAGGAAGTAAAAGACCCTTACATTGAAAACTACAGTACTCTGAAAAAGGAGATTAAAGAGGATATTAGGAAATGGGAAGATATCCCTTGTTCTTGGATAGGCAGAACCAATATAGTGAAAATGGCCACACTTCCAAAAGTGTTATACAGATTTATTGCAGTCCCAATCAAAATACCAATAGCACAGCTGAGCATGGTGGCACAGGGCTATAATCCCAGCACTCGGAGGCTGAGGAAAGAGGATCGCATGGGCAACATAGTGAGTTCAAGGCCAGTCTGAGGGACATAGCAAGACCTTGTCTAAAAAACAAAACAAAACCCCAAAAATAAAAACCAATAGCATATCTCACAGAATTAGAGAAAACAGTCCTAAAATTCATTTGGAACCAGAAGAGACCTAGACTAGCAAAAGCAATTCTTGGCAACAAAGGCAAGGCATGGGGCATCAGAATCCCTGACTTGAAATTATATTACAAAGCTACTGTGATAAAAACAGCATGGTATTGGCAAAAAAAACAGACCTGAAGATCAATGAAACAGATTAGAAGATGCAGAAACAACTTCAAAAAACCTTCCCTAGAAGAAGGATAGCCTGTTTAATAAATAGCGCTGAAAAATGGCTTTCCATATATTGAAGACTGAAACAAGACCCATGTCTTTCATCATCACTAAACTAAAATAGAGGTGGATCAAAGATCTAAATATTAAAACAGGAACATTAAATTTTCTGGAAATAGGCTAGGTAGACCTCCTGAAGCATTGGTGTAGGCAAAGACTTTATGAACAAAACCCTGATCACATAGGAAGTATTACAGAGAATCACCAATTGGGATCTCATCTTATTAAAAAGCTTTTCCACAGCAAAAGAAATCACCAACAGAGTGAAGAAACAGCCCACAGTATGGGAAAAATTTTTTCCAGCTGTTCCTCAGACAAAGGACTAATATCTAGAATATATAAAGAACTCAAAAAAAATCAGACCTCCCAAATTTAAAGACCTAATCCAAAAATGGGCATCTGACAGGAATAGACATTTCTCAGATGAAGAAGTAGAAACATGGGGCTGGGGATTTAGCTCAGTGGTTCCGGCGTCTGCCTTGCAAGCGCAAGGTCCCAAGTTCGATCCCCAGTACCAAAAAAAAAAAAAAAAAGGAGAAGTAGAAACAGCAAATAAATACATGAAAAAAATTTCAGCATCACTGGTCATTCGAGAAATGCATATTAAAATACTGAGATTCCACCGGACTCCAGAAAGAATGGCTATTATGAAGAAAGGAACCAATAACATGCTGGAGGGGCTGGAGGGAAAAAAGGAATCCTTCTCACTGTTATGAACATGTAGACTGGTGCAACCACTGTGGAAATCAGTGTGCAGATTCCTCAAGAAACTTGGACTAGAGGTTCCATTTGACTCAGCTATCCTCCTCCTCAGTATCTTCCTGAAAGAATTAAAAGCATCCTACCACAATAATATATGCACATCCATGTTTATAGCAGCACAGTTTGCAATAGCTAAATTCTGGAAACAGCCTAAATGCCCATAAACTGGATAAAGAAATAGATAAACAAGAAGTGGGTTTTTTTTTTTTTTTTTTACAAGGGAGTACTACTCTGCCACAACGAAGGATAAATTTGTGACATTTAGAGCTAAATGGATGGACCTTGAGACCATACTCTTAAGTGAAATAAATCAGACACACGTGTTAAATACTGCATTGTTTCTCTGGTGTGAGAAACCAAAAGTGGAAATAAGGACCGAGATGTGTAATGGATGCTGGGAAATGGGAAGAAAATGTTCAAATGGGAAGGGGAACAAAGGGGGAGGGAGGGGGAAAGGAAAGAAGAGACAAGAAAAAAAAAAGTGAAAATAGAAGGAAAAAATGGAAACAAAGCTTTTGTAAATAAGGTGAGTTGAAGGGAGGGGAGAGGAATGGGAAATAGAGAAGAAGCAAGATATATCATGTATGGATACAAATTTCCTATGACGAATGTTATCATTGTGAGTATCTAAAATGTACCAATATGCCGGGCTTGGTAGTACACGCCTGTAATCCTAGCACTTGGGAGGGTGAGGCAGGAGGTTCACCATGAGTTTGAGTCCAGCCTGGGCTACACAGTGAGTTCAAGGCTAGCCTGAACCACATAGTGAGACTCTGTATATAAAAAAAAAAAGTGCGGGGGATTTAGCTCAGTGGTGCTGCCGCCTGCCTTGCAAGCGCAAGGTCCTGAGTTTGATCCCCGGTACCAAAAGAAAGTACCAATAAAAAAAAATAGTTGAAAGAAAAAAATTAATGCTGCTGCTTCAGGATAGCCCCTCCTCATGCAGGGGAGAAGTCTGAGGTCCTATGCCACCTTCCACGTCAGGCCCTCAAAGCCATTAGAGTGGGTCCTTGCCTTGGGGGCAATGCCAGCCAGGCAACCTCACGGGCACAAGTCCCCACATGCGTCCCTTCTGCTCCTCTGACCCACTCGGAAACCAGGAAACTTCTACTCATGGCTCAGTCTCCTCCTGGAGCCTCTGGTTCTATCTGTATCAGGTCCTGCTGGAGCCTGAGACACAGACACTGGACTCTTCCTCTCTGTGGCCCAGACAAGGCCCCCAGCTCAGAGACCCAGGGGCCTAAGCCCCAGGAATCTCCCTACTCCAGGACAAGGTTCCTCCTGAGGGTTTAACTCCTGCAGGTGGTGCTGACCGCAGTGGCCATGAGCCAGGCGGGGCTGGAGATCTAAATGTCCCCCAGGTTCATGTATCTGGAAGGGGACTGGATCATGGAGCACAGATGATGGGTACATAGCTGACTTGCTGTCGGGAGGGTGGCTCTGGTTAGAAGCAGGTGGCTGTGGTGTGACCTGGAAGCATGCACAGCCTTCTTGTTCCCGGCTCCTCCCTTCTCTACTTCCTGACCACCATGAGGTGAGAAGCTCCTCTCGGCCAGGCCTGTCTACCATGCAGTTTCTGCCCTGGAGCGGCCGACCATGGACTGAACCCACTGAAACTGTGAAATAAACCTTTCCTCCTTCAAGTGGCAAGTGTCAGGTGCTTTATCCCAGGGACAGGAAAGGGACTGTTACACATAGTGTAACAGTCGTGTGTTGTCTGAACTCTGTATCACAAGACCACCACTCCAGCCCATTTCTAGCGTGTTAGCACACAGATGGACTGTCCCCACTGGGCAGGTGGCCAACCCTCTCACAGCAGTCAGCATGGGTGAGTTTGGCACAGTGCCACTTCGCACATACCAGCAGAGCCTGAGCTCAGCCCTTACCTCCCACACAACCAGAGGCAGACTCAGCAGCACTCAGTGAAGATTTAGTGAAGACTTGTGCTGGAGGTTACAACGGGGTTTCTCCATTCAGGTAGAGTTGGACGGTGGCTCAGAACTGCCTGGTCAGTCCTCCATGGGTAGAGAAAGCCCCCATAATATCCCAGGGCTAGCTGAACACCTCAGTGAAGGGCCGCTCTACTCCGCCAAGTAGCCCATACCACTGCAGGTGCCTCCAGCAGCCAGACCTTTTCCCCAGCGGCCTTTAACTTGGAGGAAGGACAGACACAGTTGCTCCATTCCTGCCCAGGACAAAACGGGGCTGGGAGGAACAGGGCTAGGAAAAGCAATAAGTTAAATCCAGGCAGGAAGAGCCATGGCAGGGTGTCACGGGCCAGTATGGGAGTCCCAGCTGTCCCTGGCTTGCTCCGGGTGTCACCGGGGAGGCGGCAGGTCAGAGGCCGGGCTGTCGATGCCCCTCTGTGTGCCAGCGTTGTCTTCAGGATAGAGGCTGTAGGGAGGTGGAGGCTCCACGGGAGGCAGAGACAGGGTGGGCTTCAGAACCACCTGCAGGGAAGGGGACACCTGGTCTCCCAGGGCCTGGCCCGCCGGCCACCAGGCCCCGTGCCGCCCCCCTACCCCATTACCCGCCAGGAGAGGGTGCCCTGCTGCTGGCGGCAGGGACTGGGACGGGCAGACTCACCTCGTTGTAGGGTGGTGGGGGCTCGATAGTGGTTGCCTGGACCTCCTCTTCGGGGGCAGTGTGGGCCGGGTTTTGGGGCTCCTGGGGATGTCTCGCGGGGCCCTGCTGTAACCTACTGTGATGGCAGTTGAAGCAGTAGTGTTTAACGATCCCGCAACAGCACAGGATGGGCAGGATGATGGAGACGCAGATAATGAAAGCCCTGCAGCAGGGACAGCAATGTCACGCTGAGTGCCCAGGCCCCCAGCCCCAACACGACGCCCCCCACCCCTCACGTGGCCTGTGCCTGGAGAAGCCGGCCCTGGCTCACCTCAAGGGGCCACTGAACAAATCATCTTCCAGACAGCATCTGTCGTCACAGCATTTGAGTCCTGGGGGACAGGTTCTGGACAGGGGCAGGAAAGGTTGCTGGCACCAGAGGGGGAGGACACGGGCTGGGACCCGGGAGCTGGGCTTGGCGTTTGTGCCAAGTTACTTGGTGGCGCGAGCACCCCACCCACCACCCTGGGCAGGCGGGGCTGGGGGCTGCAGTGGCTCTGATGTGGCTCGTTTGGCTCAAACGGACAGAGAAAGAGGCAATGCCGGGAGCCAGGAGCCCAGAGCAGGAGAAGGGAGCGCCTGATGGTACCCAGAGCTCGGGGTGGGCAGGGAAAGGGGAGCCCAGGTCACCCGGAGCCAACTCCACAGACTCGCTGCTCTGCACGAGACTCCCCCCAGCCACTTCTTGCTGTGCTCAGCTTCTAGGGATTTATTTATATGTTAGCATCATCGGCACACACTTCTGCCCACTGCCCTCTTGGGGACCCTCAGGGGAGCTGGTCTGGGCCTGCAGATGGGAGGGCCTCTGCTGGGGTGGGGGGTGAGGAGGTGGATGAGTGCCCATCCCCCGACCCAGGCCCCCCACCACCCCGAGTGGAGGTCTCAGCCATGACCCCCGACTTACACAAACTGAGCACACTTGGGCGAAGTCTGCGGAAGGAGAGGCAGAGGTCTCGGCTCATAACCTGAAGGTGGGGACTCCATCCAAGGTCACCCAGGTGTAGCACAGCCAGGACCGCCGGCCTCCATCCACCAGGTCCCCAAATCCATGACTGGAGCCCAGCTGATCCTCGGCTGGCTCTCCCTCCTCCCACCACCCCAGTGCGTTCCCCTTCCCAAGTCTGGAAGCTCCCAGCCACCCATTCAATTTCTTGCCCAAGACAGCTGCAGCCCAGGGATCAGCAACTTTGCAGGTCCCTGCGCCTCCCACTCGGGACACCGCAGTCATGCTCCCATGCTCAGCGGGTGCTCTGCCACTGAGCTGCATCCCAACCCCTTTTATTTATTTTGAGACAGGGTCTCACTAGGTTGTCCAGCCTGGCCCTGAACTTTCGATCTTCCTGTCTCAGCCCTCCTTTCTTTCTCTTCTGTACCAGTTCTGCAGGGCATTCAGGGCACCCAGCCAGAAGCACACAATGTTTGTGGCATTTATGGCCCAAGTGTTTTCTCTCAGGTGTCTGCAAGGCTGTAAAGCACCTTCCTCTCCAACCGTGTTGGTCACACCATGTCTGCAAGCTCCCCTTCCCTTTCGGTTTAACTGTTCTCTGCAGCTCCTATCAACATCCAGCAGTCTATGTAGTTTATATCCTTAAATGCCTGCCTGGTAGAATGTATTGTTTGTTTGTTTGGTACTGGGGATCCAATTTGGGACCTTGTTCTTTCTAGGCAGGTGGCAGAACTACTGAGCTGAATCCCTGGCCCTGCCTGGTAGAACGTAAACTCCTTGCAGGCTGGGAGCTTTCCGTTTTGATAGCTGGTGAAAACCTAACAGTCCAGGCTGTGGTGGCGCATGCCTGCAATCCCAGCACACCAGAGGCTGAGGCAGGAGGATTGCTGTGAGTTCGAGGTCCAATTTCATCCTGGCTGCTTCTAGCCAGGAAGGGAATGATACAGGTGCAGGGACATGGGAAATGACAGGGCTATTGGTCACCCCACCTTAGCCACTTGAGCCAAACAACCAGGGCTCAAGAATAGGAAGACAAGCCAGCACGCTGGAGGGCAGTTGTAATCCCAGCACTCTGGGAGGCTGAGGTGGCAGGAGGGTCACAAACGCAAACCCAGCCTGAGCAATTTAGGGACCCTATCTCAAAATAAAAAGAGCTGCAGATGTAGGCCCTGGGTGTAACTCCCAGTACCCTCCCTCCAAAACCGTCCCCTTTATCTTTTCCTTGAAATAACTAAAATAGCATTTCATTTGCTAATCACAACAGTAAAGATAAGAGCATCAAGGACAGTCAGTTGGGTGATTCCCCTTTTCCACTTGCTCAGTCTCAGGCCCAGCACCTTTTTACAAGCTCTGCCTTTTAGGGGGGACAGGGACAAGAGGGGAGTCCCCCTAGCCCTCGCAGGCTGGAGGTGTGAGCCTCCCAAAGCACACAGCACACAGGGGCGACTACAGACAAAGGGGTCCTGGCCCTAGGCAGCTGCACCCCTCCTCTCAGATCCCTGACCCTCCTTCTTCCTCTAGACCCCAACCGTAGCGATGGATAATTAACAGGTTTCTACACTAGTCCCACTTGGGAAGGGGGCGTCTTCACGTGGAGTCTCAGAAGCCGGATGATGCCAGGGACTGCAGCTTCCTTGCTCGGAATGGTGGAGACAGCCACCATCCCCTGGAGGTGTTGGACGCCCCAGGATGTGGAAAGCGGCCAGCACTCTCCCTAGCTAACCCAGTCCAGGCATCCTCAGACCGGGCCTCTCTCCCAGAACCACCCCTGTCCCCCAAGTCACAACCGAGGGGTCAGGCCGCAGGTCAGAGGTCACGCAGGCTGGAATGCAGTCCTGACTCTCAGCAGAGGCCCTGGAGCCTCCCCTCCTGCAGAGCACAAGCAAAGAAACCGTCCCAGAGAGAGCTGCGATTGCCCCAAGGTCACCCAGCGCTGGAGGAGCGGGGCTGGGGAGTCGCCAGGCCCAGACGTTCAGACCTCAAGATCGAGACGGAGCTGGAAAGCAGGCCAGGCGGGTCAAAGTCCCCACAAGGAGGCAGGCCCAGGTATCAGACGGGCTGTCGCGGGCAGGTCCCCTTGACTCTACCCCGCAAGGCGAGGGAGGCCCAAGAGGGAGGGTCCCCACCTCCTCCGCAGAAAGAGAAAGTAAGTTACTAATTGCGCGAGGTCAGGAGGAAACCCCAGGATGGAAGGTGAGGACTGGGCTCCAGAGAGCGCACCTGCCCCTCCGGTAGGGCCCCAAGCGCAGCAGCCTTACCTCCCGGGCGCTCGCCCAGAGCAGGCCCGACAACAGGCCGAGCAGCACGGGAAGCCCGAGGCCCGGGACCCTGGCGTCCGACATCCTGACCCCGGGTCTACTGATCTTCCTCGGGGAAGGGCGGCGGGGAGGCCGGGCCGCGACCCCTCCCACCGCTCTCCACCTGTGGGCCTCTCCCGGGGCGAGGGCGGGGCCGGGACACCTGGGTGGGGCTGGACAGGGCGGGGGAGGGGAGAGGGGGGAGGGGAGAGGAAGGCGAGGGGAGGTAGAGGAAGAGCAGGGCCGGGCCGGGCAGGGAGGAGGTCTGTTTGGGGTTTTGGGAATTGGGAGGTACAAGAGATCGATTGTTTTTATTTTTATATTTTTTCTTTTTGAGATCGATTGTTTTTAAATTGTGGCTTCAACTTGAGACTGCTGAGTGACTCCTTGCAGCCCACGCCCCCAATTGACTGCCTTCGAGTTGCAGATTTCGGGGCGCTGTGCCTCGTAAGGGGCGGAGGGCGGCGCAGACAGAGGGGTCCGGCCGCTGGGAGCCCCTCCTCATTGCGAGTCTAGGGTGAGGGACAGGGGGGTGGAGTGCGGCGGGGTGCATGGAGTGGGGGTGTGGGGAGCGGCGTCACCCCAGGAAGGAGGTAGGGCGGCCAGGTGGACTTCAGACTGTTGAGATGTGTCCCCCAGCCTCCTCCTGAGCCCCGGGGACGTGTGTGGACGCGAAGGCGTGTCCGCCACCAGGCGAGCGGGCGCGGCCGGGCTTCCCGAGACTCTGGGGTGCGCGGTGCGGTCCAGTCCGGCCGCCAGGGGGCAACATTGCCTGGGAGGCGGGCGGGACCGCGGGAGAGGGCCAAACCTGGGGCCGGGATCTCAGGCGCGCGGCCAGTTCTTAGGCTTGGCGGGGTCCCCTCTGGGACTTTGGTCCCGAAAAACACCAACTTCTTAGATTCATTCTCTGCTTCTCTGACCCAGTCATGTCATCTGTTATACGGATGGCCCCCCATCTCCCCTTTTTGCCCAGTCTCCGATCTCCCCACCTCCCTGAGCATTTACTTTCTCCCAACATCATCATCATCATTATTAGTATTAGTATTAGTATTAGTATTAGTATGGGAGGAGGTGAGACGGGGTCTCATGTAGTGTAGGCTGCTGGCCTTAAACTCACTACGATCCTCCTGCCTCAGCCTCCCGAGTGATCTCCCAATTTTGTGTGTCTGATTTCCCCTGCAGTATCCTGTCAGTCTCAGTGGAAGAGTTTGTTTTCTGTCTGCCTGTATTTCCCTGCACTGCCTTGGTCCTACCCCGCCCCCTGTCTTGGAGTCTTTTTCAGGGCTTTCCTGGTCTCCTCCAGCACCTCGTATCTCTCCCTGGCCTCTATCTCCCTCTCTTACCCTGTCTCTGTTTCTCATTATCTCTTGGCCCCTTTTGGCCCTTAAAACCAGAAACTTCCAATTTCCCCAGCCAAGTACGACTGTGAGCTGAGGGGGGCGCACCTCTGGCCTCCTGTCCTTGCTGTTGGCATCAGACCCTAAACTTCCCTGCCCAGGGGGCCCCAGTCTGGAGACTGCTGCAACCCTCTCCCAGTGCCACCCACGATTCTGGGCTCCTGGCATACACTTACACCCCCTCCACACCCCACCTGAGCTGGACCCCTGCACGGACAAGGCCCAGGGGAGAAGAGGGCCTCCGGGGGGAGGGAGAAGAGAGGTGAGGGGAAGCTGTGGTGGGAGGCTGGGCAGGCTGGGGAGGGACCAGGCAGGCAGTGGAGTACTAGGAGGGGCTGGAGAATGGAGGGCATGGTAGTGTTGCTTCCCCTGGGTTTCCAGCAGCCACCTTATCCACATCTAGGGTGGCCAGGAAAAAGACAGGACACCTATCCCAGCACTCAGGAGGCAGAGGCAGGAAGATCTCCAGTTCAAGCAATTTAGCAACCTAATGAGACACTGACTCAAAGTAAAAAATGAAAAGGGCTGGGGTGGAGCTCAGGACAGGACATTAATTAAATTTGAATTTCAGATAAACAACAAATAAATTTTACTGTATTACATGGGATATACTTATAGTGAAAGAACATTATTCGTTGTTTATCTGAAACTCAAAGTTGCTCGAGTGTCCTGTATTTTTGTTTGTGAAATCTGGTGGCCCTACCCATATCCCTGAAAGGTCTGGACTCCACCTCCCCCCCACAGCTTTCCAGAGGGGAAAAGGAGGTCCCAAGCTCTTGACTCTGGGGGCAGAGATCCAAGTCCCCAAACTGCCCCTCTCTGTGTTCCTGCCTGAGACGGGCGGGGGTGGGGGGCTGGAAGTGGGCAGTGCCCACGCCGCCTGGGCGCCAGCCCCCCAGCAAGCTTGGAAGGCGAGATCTGGCGTTGGGGGTTCACAGGGGGCCCCCAGGCTGGGCAGGAGAGATCCATCCCTGGTGGCGCTGTGTCCCACCCGGGCTGGGGCTGCGGGGGTGAGGGACCCAGGGCCCTCTTGGAGTCAGGGATCCCCCTGGATTCCATGCCACGTTCCATCTGGGATTCCCGAGAGGTCGGAGTCAGATGTCTTCAGAGGCCCTGGCTTTCTCCCTGCCACATCCGCGAAAGAACGGGCTGATTGTCTCATCCTCCGGGGCCCAGCGGGGAGGGCCTGGAAGTCAGCGGGCCCACGCACTCTCTCCGGGACGACGGCTGGCGCCCCAAGGGACACTACGGGCTGGGCTGAGTCAGGACCAGCGCCAAGCACGCCCGAGACCCCACACCCAGCTTAGGGAGCCACTGCCCCAAGGGGGCACCTACTGGGGTGGGGGTGCCAGGACCCGCCCAGCCCGGGGGGAGAGCCAAGCTGGGTTCTGTCTCTCTTAGTGTGGCCCCCCTTCCCCCCTGCAGGGGACACTAATCCCTGTAACAGCTCGGTTTAGGGCTGGGATCTGCTCGGAGCTGGCTGAACGCGGGATCCGCCGGCAGGGGCGGTATTGTGTCGCGTTAGAGTGTGGCTTTCGGGGCCGTACTGTGTGGCCTTGGACAAGAAGCTGACCTCTCTGTGCCTCTCCAAACGCGTCTGAGAATGGAGGGAGGGATGTGAGTAGCCAGATGTGCTCACAGAGGTTGTTGCGAGGGTGAAATAAGCCGCCTAATGCCTGGCGCGCAGCGGAGGCAGAGAAACCCGCCAGGCGGAACGGGGCGGTGTTTGCGAGCCGCAGAGGCGGGGGCCGGAAGTGGGGTCCTCAGGGACCTCCAGCCTGGACTCCTGGTGCCTCTATTGGGACAGGTGTCTCTCTCGCTCCCTAACCTTCAGCGGCTCCTTACTGCCACCCGGGTAAGTCCATCTCCGGGATAACGCCAGGGTCCACATCCCCCTCCCTTCCGGGGGGCTCTCCCTGCCCGCCCGGCCCTGCCTCTTCTCTCCCCTCCCTGCCTCTGTCCGGCAGTTTCCCCACATCCCTCTCTGAAACCTAACAAACCCCGACCCATGCTTCAAGGCCCCGCCCCGGGACCGCCTCCTTCAGATAGCCTTCCTGCAAGAGCGAATGTCTCCTCCTGCTGGCTCCCGCCCAGGCCCTGACTGTCTGAGTCCCTGGCCCGTATTCCCTGGTGACGTGTGGCCATGTCCTCATGTTCCTACCAGGCGGTGGGGCAGGCCAGTGTGGATTCAGCTTTTTGTTTTTATATTGGGGATTGAACCCAAGGGCTTTGCCCTGAGCTCCAACCCCAGCCCTTTCTTTATGCTGCATTTTACTTTAAGACAGGGTCTCTCTAAGGTACTTAATTGGTCAGGATGGGCTCCACCTTGTGATCCTCCTGCCTCAGCCTCCCAGCGTGCTGGGATCACAGGTGTGTGTCAGCAAGCCCGCTGGATTCAGCTTTGGGGCCAGGGATTTAGCTCAGTGGTTCTGCCGCCTGCCTCAAAAGCTCAAGGTCCCAAGTTTGATCCCTGGTACCAAAAAAAGAAAAAAAAAGGAAAAAGACTGATTCAGCTTTCATCCCCAGGTGCTCTGTTCCAAGTGAACCCCGGCTCTGAGCCCAGCTGGTTAGGGGTCTCTGGAGGTCAGGGGCCAGATTGCTCCCAGGACATAGGGAATTCATTTCCCAAGTCCTGGTGAGGGGCTCTGACTGGGGGAGTCCAGACTGACTGACTGTGCCCTGCATCCCTGCTATGTGTTTGGGGGATGCTTCCTGCCCCTCAAGTATGCTGGCCCTGGGGACTGAGCAGCCCCTGGAAGGCACTGCACAGAATGTCAGCTTCCTACCCAGGAACGGGCAGGGCAGCCAGGGCTCACCCTGGCCTTGGGACCAAATGCTTCTTTGGAAATGGAGGCTGTAGGTCTCCTTGGGGTGACGGGGGGGAGGGGGTGATGGCAGAGATGCCTGGTGGAGATGACCCGGGTCTGAGCCGTCAACCTGTGGTCGAGAGCCGGGAGGGTGGGCAGGGCCACCTGACAATTAGTGGTGCAGGGAGCTCATTACCCTAAGGAGCGGGTTGGGGGGAGCCGGGATAATGCTCACCTTCCTCCCGGCGGACAAAAATGGCATTTGGGAACCATTATTCTTTCAAAGTGTAGGTTTCCGGGGCCCAGGCCAGGGCTGGAGAGGGAAGCAGCCCAGGGAGGTGGGGGGTCAGGGGAGTGGGGGTGGCGACAGGAGGGGAGGCCGAGCTAAGGAGCTGCTGTGACACAGGCGAGGGGCTGGGCCGAGGGGGGGTCGGGGCTCAACATCCCTGGCCTGCGCCCCCTGAGGCCCCTCCCCCTCACCACTTACTGTTTGAGATAGGACCCTGCAACCAGAGAGAAGAGAGGGACTTGGGACCCCCCAGAACCCCGAATTTCCAGTTCTGCTGTTACTGCCCCTACCCTTTTTTCTGTTTCTGTTTGTTTGTTTTGGTTTTTTGAGACAGGGCCTTGCTGTGTCATCCAGGCTGGCCTTGGACTAATGGTGATCCTCCTGCCTCAGCCTCCCGAAGGCTGGTACTACAAGTGTGCGCCACCACACTCCTCGTGGCCCCTCGGAAGAGGACTCAACTGCGCTGTTTGTGGGTTCCTCTTGGATCCGAATGCTGTGCCTCGCCTCGGGGGAAGAAGCTGGGCGCCTTGAAGGGAGGGTCTCTCATGGGTGAGGGGCTCAGAGAAGGTGGGTCAGGTCCGCTGGAGCAGCCTAGGTGCGGAGGGCCGGGGCGGGAAGCGGCAGTGACCGGTTCTTCCTCAGATCGAGGCTCCCCCAGCAGCCGCATCCTCTGGCGCCCAGCTGAGGACAGACTCTGCTCCAGGTGCGCGCGCTCACACGCAGGCATGTGCCGCCGTGTGCGTTCGAGCATATGGGTGTGCGTGGACGGACGCCCCGAGCCCCTGTGGCCCGGCCTCCTGCCCCGCCCCGCCTCCTTATCTCCAGGCGCAGCGCTGGGGTCCCCTCCCTCTCCCTCGCCGCGGTGGCCCTGTTAGCGCCTCCTCCCTCCCTTGTTAGCGCCTTACAGCTCCCCTCCCCCTGCCCCTGCATCCCCGAGAGGCCCCGTGGCCGGCAGCCCAGTTCTCGCCTTCTCATTCAACCCCTGGACTTCGGCTTCTCCTTTTCGAGGCTTGGTTCTCCGCCCAGCCCCGCAGCCCCCCGCCCTCTCCTCCCACCCCCCTACCCTGTGTCCACGTGGACGGTGGAAGGGGCTGGGGGAGGCGGCCCTGTGCTAGGGTCAAAGCTAAGACCCCCCCCCCCCCCCCACTAAAGTGCTCCTGTAGATCCGTCCTCTGCTGCCCGCCGCCCTCCAGGGCTACTGTTCCCAGGCTGAGCCCCGGCTGCGGGGACACAGGGTGGTCTTGTGCCCGGGGCCAGGCTGCCAGGCCTCCGGGACTACCAGCTTCCTCTATCGAAGGGCTCCTTCCCCTCGGGCTTTGAAGTGTCTTTGAGGTTCGTAGAGGATGTTTGGCTTCGGGGCCGAATGCCAGGATAAACTCCTTCTGCCTGCCCAGCCAAACCTCGGTCTCCTCACGGCCAGGCTCGCCCGCCTCCCCCAGCCCTGGACCCGGCCTCCTCCAGGCTGGCACTGCCCGGCCTGCCCAGGAGGCGGGCACCAAGGCGGCTGTTATGTCACCAGGGAGAGCCCCTCAAGGCAGTGGGCATCCTAGTCCCGAGCTGAGCTGGCACTGGGCACCTGTAGGTCAGGTGACCCGTGGGGCCGCTGTGGGTGCGGGTGCGGGTGGGGGAGGGGTGTCCACGTGGAGCTGCCTGCAGAGGCCGAGTGGCTCCAGATGCGGATGACTCATCTGGAATGGGAAAGGGTGGGCGGCCGTGGGGGGATGTGGGCCTGGCACCTCTGCCAGCAGCTGCTCCCCATCCTCTGGAGCCCCTCAGACCCCAGGGCAGGTGACAGAGGAGCTGTTCCGATGTGGGGCTTGCTGGGGTGCAGAGAGGAAGGAGGAGAGGAGCCCTCAGGGTGAGGGCCAGGCGGGGAGAGGGAGGAGAGGGTGGGGAGCACAGTGAGAAGCCCAGCACCCACCCTCTGTGTGTGGGTGCGTTGGCCTCAGTGCTGGCGTGCAGTGCACACACGGGGTGAGGCCCTGCTTCGTGTCTGACAGGTGGAAGGTGGGTTTTGGAGCTGGGGGCCCTGGACACGGCATCTGCATTGTCATTGGCTCTGGGGGACAGGAGGCTGCTTCGAGATGTGCATAAGCTAAGTCCCTGGAGCCAGGGCCCCAAAGGTGCTGGCTTCCTGTAACCCCTCTAGGTCCTAGTGATCTCTCCTGCCCCAGGGGCCAGGGCGTGGGCTGGTGCCTGTGAGCAGCAGTGCGGCAGCTCTGGCCTCCAGGTGGCTTGGCTGGCAGGGCCGCAGCCACTCCCTGGAGGGACCCACCTGTGCCAGCCGCACCGGCCAGGGTAAACAGGGCAGTAAGTGTCTGGGCGTGTGCCTGGCCAGCTGGGCGCCGCTCCACACACGGGCTCAGGTCGGCCCGGCCCGCCTCCACCAGCCCCACGCCAGGGCTGAGCCCTGAGCCTGGAAACAGTGTCAGGGGCCAGGGGGCCTTGAGCAGATGAACAATCAAGGTTACTTTGCAGATGACCTGTCACCTCTTCCAAGGTGGGGAGCGAGAAGGCGTCCGTCCCCTCGTGGCAGGGCTCTGACCTCTGCTAAGTGGCCATGGCAAATCGTTGTCATCCGTCACACACATGCACATGTGCTCACCTTGCTGTTGCGTTTCCGCCTGTTCACAGTCCAGAGAGAACGAGCCCCATCCCTGAAACCCCCTGAAGGACGCAGGAACTGGATGTGTCCCTGTCCTCCAAACTGCGATGTGACCATCCAGCCCTGTGGACCCCTGGGTGTCTCTGGCCCTCCTGGGACGCAGGCTCCTGGGGCCCCCTGTCCTCTCCCCTCTGCTCCCCTGGGGCGCTGATTTCCCAGCTCCCCCCTGGGCCAGGCTGCTATGTCCCCAGCCCACAGGACAGTCCCTCAGGGAGGACAGGACACTGAGGGTGGAAGGAGGGCACCCAGAAGAGTGGCAAAGAGCCGGAGGAAGCCCTGCCACTCCTCAGCCTGGAAAGATGGGCAGCAGGTACCCCTCCTGTCCTGGGCAGCAGGCACAACAGAGCGGGAAGAGAGGTGTCCCGAGACTGCCCACAGGCAGAGGCCCTTCACTCCTGTGGGTGAGGGGACAGGGCGTGGCCACAGAGCCAGCAGGCAGCTTGCAGGTAACGTGGCCTGTGGGTCCCCCGTGGAGGGGGAGGGGCGGCCAGGCCAGGGCTCGGACAGTCCAGATTAACTGGGAGACAACGCATCACCTCCTGCAGGTGGGGAGGCCTGCTGCCACTGCCTCCTGGCTGCTGGAGCCCCGGCCCCGGGCAGCGCCCACCCCACCCCACCCCACCTCCCTGTCTCCTCTTTCTGTGACCCTCATCCTCTCTCCATTTTCCTCTGTGTGGCATGTCTTTCCACCTCTGCCCTCTTCCCTCATTCCTTCTATTTTGCCTTTCCTCCTTCCCTTCTCTCTACTCCTTAGGGTGGCAGGGGCTGGCTTTCCAGAACGCCAGGCGACTTCATCCGGAGAGGCCTTGGCCCAAGTTCATGATCTCAAAATAGCCCTCTCAGGTCCCCATTTTCTTTGCCTGGGCCTCCCCTGGGAAGCCCCCTGCCTGGGGTTCCTGAGCCTGGCATTGCCAGGTGGTGTGGATTCTCTCTCTGTCTCTCTCGTCCCTCTTCCTCTCCTTTCCTCTCCATCTCCCTGGAGAAGGCAGTGCCCGGGAGCCTAGAATCTGGCCTCCATCTCTGGATGACCAGATGCTCACTGTGCCCAGGACCATCCAAACCTATGCCATGGCTTGGCTGTGATTTTTAACAGTGCCCCAAAGTAAATGGCTTTGGACCTCAAATTATGCCCGGGCCCAGCCTCCCCCATGCCCCATGGGTCCTGGAAGAGCTGGAGGCCCTGTCTGGGCCTCGCCCAGGCACAGTAGAGCCAGACAGCACAGAGGGGAGCTAGAGCTATACAAATCGTCCCGCTTGGGGGCCCCCAGCTTTGGGCAGGGCGGGCCTGCTTGCTGGTGAGGGCAGAAGGAGAATTGTGGTTGCCCCCAAGCAGAATGTAATTTAGGATTTATTTTGGGGCACTCTCTCCAGCTTTGGGTGGGGCTGAGGTCAATGTAAGGGTTTAACGGGGTGAGGGGTTTGGTAGGACTGGAGAGAGGGGGAGTCCTCTCACCCCACCCTGTTTGGAAGGGGGGCCCTCCCCAAGACCCCTGACCTCCAGGGTCCCTCCGGTCCCTCTGTCCCCTCCACTTTTAGCAAGGGCAGCAGTGCACTGTCCCCTCTGAGGCTCGGGGGTCTGGTCGAAGGCCCCAGCTTCTGGCAGCCTTCTGGGAGGTTGGGGGATCCCTCAGCTCAGGTCAGGGTGTCCACCTCCTGTCCCTCCCAGAGCTGCAGGGGCGTCAGGCTGGAGGGAGAAGGCAGACACTGCCTGGTCTGATGGGGGTGGCACAAGCTCTGTCTCCAGGGAGACCTGGGTCTGAGGGGAGCCAGGACCCAGGCCCTGCCTTCAAAGGGAGGCCGGTCCTCATTGTCAGTCTTCGTTTATGTCTGGAACTTAATCCCAGTCACGACAGGGACTCCCTTCTGTCTCCAGCACTGGCCTGGTTCGTCTGTCCTGGAATAATGAGCTGGGAGACAGCACCAGATCCAAAGGCCTGGGCTGAGAGGCGGCGGTGGACGTCTGAAGTCCTCTGCCTGATGTGGCCACTTACCTTGACCCTGCCTCCCTCTGCCCATCCTCCCGGGTTACCTGCTGTCCACTGCTATGTGCTGCTGCCCAGTCTGGACCCCTTCCACCCCACACCTTCCTGAACCACACTTTCCTCCCGCACTTGCCCGGTGGTGGATTCCACTGGGGACCTCCAGGTCCACACAGAGGCGCCTCCTCCAGGAAGCCCCCAGCTCCTTCTGACGGGCCTGGCTGTCACTTCTCATGGGCCTTGGGGCTCTTGGCTGCTCTCTCCTTTAGCCATAAGCCCCCAGGTGCCCGGATGCCCTGGAGCTGTCCTGAGCCTGGCAACTCGTGGGGGCTCATTTGGAGGAAGGAGGTGCTTGGGGACAGGGTGGTGGTGTTGCTCCTCTCAGGGTGAGTCTGGCGAGAGGCAAGTGTCAAGTGTCGTGGTTGAGGGGAGGGAGGTCTCAGGGGCCATTCCTAAGGGCAGCCAGGAGCCGAGTAGGGAGGGGATGGACCGTGTCCCTTGCTCAATGGCAGAGAGAAAGCATAATGTAAGAGAGGCTGGGAAGGGTGAGGGGACATCGGAGCCAAGGGAGGCAGGGGCTTCTAGGTCACTAGACCATGTGTCCCTCCTCTGGCCCTGGCCTGTGTCACCCTGGCCTTTGACACTGCTGGCTGTGCCTCCCCTTCTCCTGGGGGCCTCAGTGGCTCTGATCAAGTCCTTCTCCAGCTCTTTACAGGCTGTTCCTTTGCCATCTTTCCCCAGATCTGGGCCCAGCCTCCTCTCTGGGGGTCATCAGGGCACCCCCGCTTATTCAGCCACCTCAGGTGCATCCCAGTTTGGATGCCACGGGGACAACGGAGCCACCCTGCTCCCTAGTGTGCTACCAGCAGCCAGCGTATGGGCCCCTGGACCTCAGCGTTCTGGCACCAGTCACCAGGTCTTGTGGCTTCTGTCTCTTCCATCTCTGTCCATCTGGCTGCCTCTTTCCCCCAGAGCAGAGACCACGATGGGCTGCAGCCAGGCCTGGGGCAGAGAGGTGAGGCACCATTTGTTGATGGAACATTCATCCCCGAGACTCGAAGGCAAGACAGGGGCAGCAGATGGCTTCCCTGCAGGCAGGACCTTGGAGAGGCAGAGGGGCGAGGCAGGTTCCAGGCCTGGGGAAGGGGCAGAACCTTGGTTGGGGTTGGTTAGGGTGGGGCCGCTCACTCTCCGGAAGTTTACCTCCCCCCAGGTGATGCAGAGAATTCCCAGAGCTCCAGCTCCGGGCCTTGGGGCAGAGAGAAGCTCTGAGCCCCTCTCCATTTTCAGTGGCAGCCTGGGCTCAGATGGGACATCGCTCCCAGGTTCCAAGCCATGCTGGGAGAAGAATGCTGCCCCCAAGTCTGTGGACAGCCTCCAAGTGGGGATCTTCTTGGAGAATTTGTTTTCTACCCCAAAATTCATAGACATATACTTCCTTCCCCTACTCTGTCCTTGTACTTTTTTTGTTGTTTGTTTGTTTTTGTTTTTGTTTTTGAGAGAGTCTCACTATGTAGCCCAGGCTGGCCTTGAACTCAAGGTGATCCTCCTGCCTCTGCCTCCTGAGTACTGGGATGACAGGGCTGTGCCACCATGCCTAGCTGTCCTCGTATGTTTTAATATCAAAATAATGCTCGCAATCACTTACCCTTGGAAAAAGCCAGCTGCTTTGGGGAGACAAGGCTAACGGTAGGCCTGGGCTGTCCTTGCCTGCTTCCTGGGTCTGGGTCTGGCCCTCCGTGCTAAAGCTGTCCAGGAAATGGGGTAGTGAGCCTGGGAGCCTCGCCTCGAGACAGTGGCCACTGAGACACAGTGTGGGATGTGAAGTCGTAATGATTCACACTTGGAACCTCAGGTTCCAGGCTGGATGCAGGCACAGGGCCCTCCCTAGGCTCCTCTGGGAAAGCAGAAGCAGGAGGAGGCAGCACCCCAACAGGGCCCCCATCAGCTTCCTGGGAGCAGGTCAGGGGTTGGGGTCCCGGGCGTGGCTGCCCCCTCCCAGGGAGAGGAAAGGGTGAGCTCATCCTCGGGCCCAGGCAGAGCCAGCGGGCAGGAGACATAATTAAAATGCCAGAGGTTAGGAGGTGAAGTTACAATGGAAAGAATGAAGCCCGCGCTGCTGCCGCTGCCGCTGCCGCTGCCGGCTGCCTCTCCCACCCGCTCCCGCTGCCAAGCCCACATTTGATTTTTATTTCGGGAGCCGCCAGCGCAGCACTTGGGAGGGAGCGCAGAAACCTCAGTCCGCATGGCCTGCCACGTCTGGAGCTGGGGCCTCGTGGGGGAGGCTCCTGGGGCCAGAGGAGGAGCTGGGGGGTCCTGGCCATGCCCGGGCAGGGGGCACCAGGGCAGGGTAGCTCGGGAGGCAAAGAACGAGGCTGGAAAGAACGAAGGCTGTTCTTCGGTGCCCATCAGCCTTGCCCTCTGCCTTATGCTTTCGGGGCTGTGGAGAAAAAGCTCAGCCTTTCCGCTCCCAGGTTCGGCTGGGTCTTCCGGTGCCCCCTGACACGCACATGTATGTGGGAGGCTTCTAACCGTGTTCTTGTTCTCCATGGCTTGCTGTGTGCCCCAGGGAAAGTCACTACGCCTCTCTGGACCCCAGTCATCTCCAGGAAATGGGAAGGTTGGTAAGATAAGCAGTTTCACCCAGCTCTGCAGAGGCGTCCCTTCCCGAGTCATCTTCTGGGCACATCTCGCAGCTGCCCCATCCCTCGAAGTGCTGGAGCCCCTTCTCGCAGACAGGAGCTGCAAGGCCAACTCTCGTTTTCCTGCTCTCGGCTTTCTCCCGGCCCATAATGCAGTCCAGATGGTTCGCCGCCATCGGAAAGCCGAGGCAGCAGATTCCAGGGAAAGTGGTTGGGCTCCTCTCTCTATGGTGGAGGGGCCGGGAAAACGGAGTATGGGGGTGTGTGGAGGGAGACCCCGGAGGCACCTCACTGCCAAATAAGGGGCTGGGGACAGCGGGAGAGACGGCAGGGCTGGGCCACAGAGGCAGAGCAGCCCAAGGACTTCTGGGATTCCTGCAAGGCTCTGCCTGACTGCTGGGGCCCGGGACCCTGGGCGGGGCGAGGGCTGCCATCCTGAGTGTCCAGCTTCAGAGAAAGAGCCAGATGCCCCTGGTTCAAATCCCGGCTCTGCCATTGTGTGGGGCGTTTGACTTCTGCGAGCCTCAGTTTCTTCACCTGTGAAATGGGTTGAAATCAGGCTGCTCTCAGATGGCTGTGAAGGAGACACGGGGTAGTGTAAAGGGCTCCCCACCCTGGGGTGTTTGGGAAGAGCCTTGCGGTGGCGGGGGACGCTTCTAGTACACAGCTTGCCTCCTCCTTAGGCCGCAGCCCTGTGCGCCCGGAGCCCCTGTCCTAGGTCAGCCTCCTGTCTCTCCTGTATAGCTTCCTGGGTTCTTCGAGGACTCCCAAGGGACTTGAAGTCACCCTTTGAGCCCGTTCTGGGGACAAGGCTGCAGGGAGGCGCTGTGAGCCCAGGCTGAAGCCATTGCCTCCGTTGGCCTCGACTCAGCCCAGGCCGAACAGCGGACTCCTGCCCCAGCCACGCTGAGAGAAGCTGGACGGCTGGTGAGGGGAGGGCTGGCAGTCTCCCCTCTACTCCCTGGCCCAGACAGCCTCCAGCCTTGCTTGCCACCCCGCCTCACTGTACAAGGGGAGCGCTTCGATTTTTCCAGCAGGCAGCCCAAGCGCCAAATGAGAAACAAATCCGGCTGGAGCTCAAGGCCTCCGCCTGCCCCTGTGCTGAGCCTCAGTTCCTCATCTTGTGCTCCAGGACTCAGTGTAGAGGCTGGGCTAGGGCGGAGGTCAGGGGGACCCTCACTCCCCATCCTCAACATTGGGGGCCAAATCTGGGCGCAGATCTGTGGCTCCCCACCCCAGCCCCACAAAAGCCTGGGCAGAGACAGCGCCTCCGGGTCCACACTCCCAGGCTTGCTGTGTGGGGGAGAGGGGCAGGCTGGGGTAGAGACACAGCCGCTGCTTTCCAAGGTCCCAGGCCAGACCCACCCGACACTGCACCCCACTCCTCCACCCCTCACACCTCATCTCCGGCCACTACCAGGACAGAGAAGCTGCACAGGGAGCCAGGCAGTTCCCCACCCACAAGCCTGTACACCTGACAGGGCGCCCCAGGCTTTGCTCCCCCGGCCTGTGCAGCAGTGTCCCCTCCTGTCCCAAGCCCACCTTCTGCCAGGGCCACGGTCCCTCCCTCCCGCCTCTGCCATCCACTTGTGGTTTCCCTGGGCAGCCCACGCCTCCCACTCTCTGAACTTCCATCCCTCTGACCTGCAAATTCACACTGGGGTCCTCCACCTCCTTGCACACGGGAACCTCTGAGTCACCCTCTGGCTCTCTCCCTTCCCCTCCCAGCCACACTCTGGATAAGAGTGGTCTCTATTTCTGTCCTCAGCAGGCCCCTGTCTGGCTCACATTGGTGCCCTGGGAGGAACCACACCCAATAATAAGGGCAAATCACACCTAGGCCAGCTCCATTGTGTGGAGATAATTACCTGTGCTCTGGCTGCCGGAAGGAATTAAACGGTCTGAAAGAACAAGACACGGACCAGAGCCTGTAGGACCCACCCCACATAATGGCCAGCACCGGGTAAAAAATTGCCAGACAGCTTTTTCTCTTCTTCCTCCTCTTTCTTCTCCTGCCTTCCTCTTCTCCTTTTTCTTCCCCTTCTCCATCTCTTCTTCCTCCTCTTTCCTTCTCATTCTTTTCTTCTCTCTCTTTCCCTTTCCTGTCCTTCCTCCCTCTCCCTTCTCTCCAGAATCAGTTCAGTACAGAAGCCCTTGGTGTGGAGACTGAGGCATGGTGCCCTGGAGCCTGCCCAGAATTGGGGCTCCATGTGGCGGGTGCCCCAGGGCCACCCCAGGAGCCAGGCAAGGTCTGTATGACATGGGGTCGGTGGCAGGGGGACATTGGCTAAATAAGCTAGGACTGACCGTGTATGCAAATACGATCCTCTCAGCACAAGTATGCTGGGGTTTTTACAGTTGATGGTGAGTTATAAATATGGAGAAGGAGAAAACAGGAGTGAACTTTTCAGTGTTCCTGTCTGCAGTCTTACCCATTGCATCTGAATTGGAGGTCTTGGGGAGAATTTGCATGTATTTCCTTGCCTCGTCCATGGAAAAGAACTGGCCACAGTGACGTCTTAACGTAACAAGCCACAGCTACCATGCCAGCCTTCATTTCTCAATGCCATTGTCCACTGAGGGAACCAGGGCTCCTTGGGAGATGGCTGATTACATGGTTAGGGCCAGAAAAGTACATGATAAGCCTGCATCATCTTGTGACAGAAAGTAAAGAAATGCTTGGATATGATTAAACAGAATTACCATATGACTCAGCAGTTGCATCCCTGAGTATACCCAAGGGAAGTGAAACCATGCATCCACACAAAAACTTGTACATGAATGTGTGTAACTCTATTTATATTAGTGAAAGGGTAGAAACAAGTCAAATGTTCAGCAACTGATAAACGAAAAAATGTGATCTAGGGCTGGGGATTTAGCTCAGTGGTGCTGCCACCTGCCTCGAAAGTGCAAGGTCCTGAGTTTGATCCCTGGTACCAGAAAAAAAAAGTGATCTAGCCATACAATGGAATGCTATTCAGCCATGAAAAAGGAATGGCATACTTGTACATTAAGCAGTGAAGTAATATGTAATATTAAGAGGTACTTATACAATCTGTATAGGCCTCAAAAACATATAACTAAAAGAAGTTAACCGCAAAAGCCCATCAATTATATGGTTCCATTTATATAAAATAGCAAGAATGCAATACTTCATAGAGACAGACAGTAACTTAGTGATGTTAGGGGCCAAAGTGGGCACAGAAGGGTGGGGAGATGATACGTAAAGGTTATGAGGCTTATTTTTGAGATGATGAAAGTGTTCTAAAATTAGCTGGTGTGCATTCTTGTAATCGCAAAACTCAGGAGGCTGAGACAGGACGATCACAAGATTGAGGCCAGCCTAGGATACACAGGGAGTCTGAGGTCAGCCTGGACTACATAGTAAGACCCTGTCTCAACGAGTGCTTTAAAACTGTGGTGAATGGCACACGTCTCTGAATGTGCTTTGCTAGGGTTTATATCTGGATGTCCCCCACAGCCTGATGGGATCATAGCCAGGACCTTTGGAAGATGATTGGATGATGGGATGGTGTAGCTGGCTTTCTGTTAGGAGATAGGAACAGGCAGGTCACTTTGGGAATGACTCAGAAAGTTAGGTCTCCCTTCCTCAACCCTCCCTTGACTCTCTGCTTCCTGTCCCCCACGCCATGAGCAGCTATACTCCACTATGCTCCTCTGCCATGCTGCCTGACTCGGAGCAGCTGACCAGACTAAAACCTCCACAAACTGTGAGCCAAAATAAACACTTTCTCCTTTAAGCTGTGGGTGTCAGATATTATGTCTCAGCAACAAGAAAATGATTAAGATATACTTAAAACCATTGACTTGTATACCTGGATGATCTGCATGGTATATCTCATGGTATATCTGTTTAGTATATATATATATTTTTTGTATCAGAGATAGAACTTGGGACCTTGTGGTTTCGAGGCAGGTGGCGGAACCACTGAGCTAAATCCCCAGTCCATGTTTAGTATTATTTTTTTAAAGAAGTACTCAAGGAATGATAGAGACCTGTCAAAAGAATACAGAGGCCAGCTAGTAAGGGCTTCCATTGGCCGGATCTGGACACATCAGCGGCATAGCTTCAGTAAAAGACTGAGGTGGAGCCAGAGGACTACAGAATGCTCCCATCTGGTCCCCATACAAACACCAGAGCACTAAAGGCCACCATACTGCAGTTTCCTTTACCCAGTATACCATGTCTGGCCATCAATTTAAAAAAAATTACAAGGGACACTAAAAGGCAAGAAACACTATTTGAAGAGAAAAAGCAAGCACCAGAACCAGGCTCAGACATGAGAAGGATTTAGGGATTATCCCAGCCATGGTTAATGTTAATAGATGATATGCAAGGAAAGGTGGACAATGTACATAGAGAGATGAAAAGTCTAAGAGGAAAAAATAAAAAGAAACACTAAAGATAAAAAAGAAAGCCAGGCATGGTGGTGCCTGCCTGTAATCCCAGCACTCTGGAGGCTGAGACAGAAGGGTTGCTATGAGTTCAAGGCCAGCCTGAACAACATAGCAAGACCCTGTCTCAAAAAACCAAACCAACAAACAAACACCAACAACAGAAAACAGTGCAACAGCAATGATGTGACTGGTTTTGACGGGATAATAAGTAAATTAGACAAGTCCAGGGATGTAGCTCAGTGGAGCCACGCCTGCCTGGCAAGCACAAGGTCCTGAGTTCAATCCTGGATACTGGGGAAAAAAAAAAGATTAGACACAGTCAGGAGGGAATCTCTAGCTTGAGGATCTGTGAATAGAAACTCCCCAAATAGAAAAGAGCAAAGAGAAAAAGACTGCAAGGGCCGGGGATTTAGCTCAGTGCTTCTGCCGCCTGCCTCGAAAGCGCAAGGTCCTGAGTTTGATTCCTGGTACCAAAAAAAGAGTTTTTTCAAGAGAAGGGAGCTCAGGCCTACATAAAGGAAGAGCTCTGTAAGGAAAACATGAAGATAACATGAAGGTTTTTCTTTTTTGCACTACTAGAGAGTAAACCCAAGGTCTTCTGAGCTACATCACCTGTCCTTTTGTTTATTTATTTATTTTTTTTCTGAGACAGGATTCCACTAAGGCACTAAGTTGTCCAGGTTGGGCTGGAACTTGCAATCCTCCAGCCTCAGCCTCCCAGGGGACTGGGATTTCAGGTGTGCACCATTATACTCAGTTTATTTAAAAAAAATTTTCTTTTGAGACAAGTTCTCATTATGTAGCCCAGGCTGGGCTTGAACTTGAGACAATTCTCCTCCCTCAGCCTCCCAGATATTGGGATTACAGGTGTGCACCACCACACCCGGCTACACAGTTTATTTTTCTTATTTCTTATTCTTTTTATTTTGGTACCGGGGATTGAACTTGGGACCTTGTGCTTGCGAGGCAGGTGCCAGAACCACTAAGCTAAATCCCCGGCCCTTATTTTTCTTATTCCTAATCGATCTAAAAGATAAGAGTTTGTCGGGGCCGGGGATTTAGCTCAGTGGTTTCGCCACCTGTTGCGCAAGTGCAAGGACCAGAGTTCAATCCCTAGCATCAAAAAAAAAAAAAAAAGAGTTTGTTCAAATAATAATAGCAACAATGCACTCAATTTTGTATATGTGTGTATACTTATGTATATGTGAGATAAATCAGTGACAGCAATGTGAGAAGAGAGATAAATCAGCATTACTTGTGAAGTGATATAGTGTTTTTTAAAAGTGAGAATAGATTAGCCATAAATATTTTTTTTCAATTTTTTGACACGGAAGTGTACCACTACAGCCAGCCCAATAGCCATGAACATATATAGCAAACTTTTGACAACCACTGGAAAAAAAAGTACAACTGAGGAGCTAAAAAAAGAGAAAATGAAACCATACCAAATGCTCAGTGAGCTAGGTGTGGTGGCGCACAGTTGTCATCCCAGCGCTCAGGAGGCTGAGGCAGGAAGATTGCCACCAGTTCGAGGCCAGCCTGGGCTACATAATGAGTTCAGGGCCAGCCTGAACTACAAGAGGAGACCCTGCCTCCAAACAAAAATCAAACAAACAAAAAACCAAAATAAAACAAAACTAAAAAACTCAACCAACCAAACAAAAAGGAGTCAGTTAAAACCACAAAAAACAGAAAAGGAGTAAAAGACAAAGAAGTGGAAATAAAGAACAAGGGTAACAACTGAAAAAGCAAGAAATATGGCAGATATTAATCCAACCAGATTGAGAGTCACTTTAAACCTCTGTAGCCTCAATGCACCAAGTAAAAGACAGAAGTTGTCAAAATTGTTCAAAACACGTAACCAATCATACCGTTTGCAAGAAAACTGCTGTAATAATAGAGAGAGATAGATGCTAAAAGTAAATTGATGGAGAAAGCTCCATCACGCTAATGCTAATTAAACTAAAGTGGCAGTAGCTGTATTTATTTCTGAGAGAGCAGATTTCAGGGTAATGAAAATGATTGAGATAAAGAGGAGCCGGGCATGGTGGTGCACGCCTGCAATCCCAGCACTTGGGAGGCTGAAGCAGGAGGATCGCCTCGAGTTGGAGGCCAGCCTGGGTTACATAGAGTTCACAGCCAGCTTGAACTGTCTCAGAAAGGACAAAAAAAAAAAAAAAGATAAAGATAAAGAAGAGCGTTACATAGGAGAGAAAAATATCAGTTCCTCAAGAAAGCATAAAAATTTTTCAAGTGGGTTATGGTTTATATCTAAAATGTCCCCCTCCCAAGAGTCTCACATTTAGGGGCAGGGCCTGGTAGTAAGGGGGGGGCTCACTGAGGTGTGGCTTGGAAGGGTACATTCTCAGCCCTGGCTCCTCCCTTCTCTCTCTGGTTTTTGGTTACGCTGACCCTGCCCATGCCCTCTGCCCTGCCATTTCTGTCCTCGAACCAGCCACCCACGGACTGACACCACTGAACTGTGAGCCAAAATAAACCTTTCCGCCTTTAAGTTGCCAGTGGGGTGTTTTGTGCCAACAGTGGGTAAGTGACTACTACAACATGTATGCATGTAATACGAGCATCAAAATAAGTGCAGCAAAACCCCAGACCACTGCAAGGAGAAACAGATAAATCACAATTCGAGCTGGAGACTTCACACCCTTCCATCAGCAATGGGCAGACCCAGCAGCTGGAAAATCTGTATGGGCTTAGTTGCATTCAACAGCACCATCCATCAGCTGGATATCATGAGCATTTGTAGACTGCTTTATTCAACACAGCATAAGAAACTTTCCTCTCAAACTCATATGGAACATTCACCAAGACGGACCACATCTTGAGGCCTTCAATATACTCCACAAATCTAGTAGAATTAATCATACAATATCTGCTCTAAGACGAAATGGAATTAAGCTAAATATCAATAAAATAAAGATAGCTCGTGCTCCCTGCAGCAGCACATATACTAAAATAAAGATCGCTAGGAAATCCAAAAATACCCAGAGATTAAACAGCACTTGTCCGAATAATGCAAGTCAAAGAATAAATCTTAATGGAAATTTAAAAATATTTTAATTAGGGCCAGGGATTTAGCTCAGTGGTTCCACTGCTTGCCTCAAAAGCGCAAGGTCCCGAGTTCGATCCCCGGTACCAAAAAAAAAAGTTTTAATTAAATTAAAATACAGCTCATCCAATTATATGGGATGCAATGAAAACAAAAGCTGTGAGTGTTTTGTAACATCGAATACATACGTTAGAAAAGAAGAAAGATCTAAAATCAGTAATCTAGAATTAGGACCAAACTAATTCCAAAGTAAGCACAAGGAAAGAAATCATAAAAATTAGAGCAGAAATCAATGGAATTGAAAACAAGAAATCAAGCACAAAAACTGGTGCTTTGAAAACTTGAAAAAATATAATCCATTAGCATCTAGCCTGCTAAGCTGAGAAAAAGAAGGCAGACACAAATTACCGAAGTCAGAAATGAAAGAGAGGACTTCACTATGACCCCATTGACATTAAAAGTATAATAAAGAAATACAGCAACACCTTGGATTGCGAGTAACTTGTTCTGCGTGTTCCACAAGAGGAGCAAACGTTTCTAATACATTTTAACTTGATAAACAAGTGATGTCCTGCAACACAAGTAGTACATGATGCTGACAGTCACATGATCACAACTCAGCCAATGGTTCTTCTCTCCCTGGTAGCAGGATTGTAAGCAATGTCACATTTCCACAAAATCCTCAAAAGGAGGCAAAACCAAGTCTCACTGGATAGGTTCCTTGTAAAAGTTGCACAAAAAGAAAAAGATTCCGTTGAGCCAATAGATAGCAGCGATTCTGTCAGTCATTGTGAAAATTGTTCTATATAATAACCTTCTTCTTTCTTGTCTCCCACACACCAGCCACAAAGGATTTCAAAGGCAAATGCAGGTTAATTTGTTTTTCTTTATATTTTGTATTTTCTTTGTTATTTTGTATTATATTACAGTAATGTAATCATTTTATATGTATATTTTTGCGGAACAAATCATCTGAGTTTCTGTCATGTCTTATGGGGAAATTTGCTTTGATTTACAAGTGCTTTGGATTGCAAGCATGTTTCTGAAACAAATTATACTTACAAACCAAGGTTTTACTGTATTACGAACAACTCTATGCCTACAAATTTGATAACCTAATCACAGTGGACAAATTTCTTGAAAGACATACTCTGCCAAAACACACAAGAAGAAATAAACCACTTGAATAGGGCTGTATTTATTAAATAAATTGAATCAACATTTAATAACCATCCCAAACTTAAAAATCAGACTGAGAAGGTTCACAGACAAGCTCTGCC